CCCCCCTCCTCCTCCAGCAGCCAGGCCTTGAGACAGCGCTCGCGCAGCCGCTGCATCTTCTGCGCCCGAAGGATGTTGCGGCATTTGAACTGCAGGTGCCGCAGCTCCTCCTCCAGCAGCGCCGCGCGGTTGCGGTTGAGGTCGAGGTCCAGGCCGGGCCGCAGGGCGCCGGGGCCGTTCCCGTTGGCCAGGTGCCCCCGCAGCTCCAGCAGCTCCCGGTACCGCTCGGACTCGGCGTCCGTCAGCCCCGGCACCTCGGGCGCGGGCAGCAGCGAGTCCAGGCTGAAGTGGAAGTCCCGGGCCTGCAGCGGGGCCGGGCGACGCTGGGGGGCCGGGGTGCCGGCCGAGCGTGGGGGGCTCCGTCCCCCAGCAGGTCGTGCTCCGAGCTCTCCTCGTTCCGGGTGCTCTCGTCCGTCCGGCCCACCCCGCTGTCCAGCTCCTGGCTGGGGGCAGCGGGGGGCCGGCGCTGGGCGGGCGGGGCCGCGGCAGGCTGGGGGGGCAGAGATGGGGGAGATTGAGGTGAAGCTGACTTTAATTCAGACGCAACCGGCCCCAGCATCCTGCCGAGCCCCCTGCCCAGCCCCCCGCCCCCTGGCTTCCCTTCCCCAGCCCCCCAGTTCCCGCCCCCCAGCATCCCTGGTCCAGCCCCCCGGTTCCCCGTTCCCCCGGCACCCCCGCCGAGCCCCCCTGCCCCCCGGCTCCCGCTGCCCAGCCCCCCGGTTTCCCGCCCCCTGGCATCCCTGCTGAGCCCCCTCCCCATGGCTCCCCCTGCCCAGCCCCCTGGTTCCCCACCCTCCGAGGGGCAGCGGGCCCTGACTGCCAGGGGAGAGCCCCTCCGCCCAGCCCCCTGCCAAATCCCCACTCATGACTCCCACTGCCCAGCCCCCTCCCCACAGCGCCCCCTGCCCAGCCCCCCGCCCCACGGCGCCCCTCACCTGCTGCCCAGGGGTCGCTCGGGGTCTCATTTCGCGTTCGTGCTCGGAGCCGAAGTCGTCCAGGAAATCGTCACGGTCACTGTCCTTCCAGCGCCGGGAGAGCTGGGGGGGACGGGCGATGGGGGCAGCGGAGGGTGAAACTGCAGCCCCCCCCACCAGTCATAGCCCCCCCCGCATCCGTCCCAGGCAGGCCCCCCAATCCCCCCACTGGGGAAGGGTCAGCCCCCAACCCACCCTGTGCCCCCACCCCCCATTCCTGCCTCTCGGACCCCCAAATACCCCCCTGCCTCCCACATCCTCCCAGCCCCCCGACTTCCACCTCTCCCCTCAACCCCCACCCCCCAGTTCCCCCCAACCACCCCGGGGGGGCGTCCGTCACCTCGGTCTCGGGCCTGGCCAGCAGCAGCGAGATGTTCGTTTGTTGCTCCTGGGTCAGGATGGCGACGGCTTCCTCGCGGTCCTGGACCTGCACCCCGTTAATCTGGGGGGGCCGGGGGCCGAGTCAGCCCCCGTCCTCCAGCCCCCCTGAGCCCTCTGCACCCCCAGTCCTCTGTCCCCCCTCA